CCCTCGCCCTCCCCTCTCCTCCTCCTCTCCTCCTCCTCCTCCTCCTCCTCCTCCTGTTCCTCCTCCTTGTCCTCCCTCCTCCTCCTCCTCCTCCTCCTCCTCCTCCTCCTCCTCCTCCTCCTCCTCCTCCTTCTCCTCCCCCCGCCTCCCCCTCCTCCCCTCCCCCCCTCCCCATCCTCCCCCTCCTCTCCCTCCCCCGCCTCCCCCTCCTCCCCCTCCTCCTCCTCCTCCTCCTCCTCCTCCTCCTCCTCCTCCTCCTCCTTCTCCATTCGTTCTCCTCATATATAACTCCTCCCTGTCGCACCCCGAGGCCAGTTTTTAGGGCGGGCAGGGCGTTTCGCGTGAAACTTCCTCACCAGTTATGACTCTGAAACTTAATAACAACAGATTCACGGATGAAGGGCTGGTGGTTTTCAAAATGTGGTGTTCGCCTTAGCGCCGCGGACATTCGTTTGAATCATTTGTAAGAGTTTCACGGATGGAAGACGGGTGGTTTTCAAAATGTGGCTCTCGCCTTAGCGCCGCGCACATTCGCTTTAAACAGTTGCAAGAGTTTCATAACGTATTAAGGGCGGGTGGTTTTCAGAATGTGGTTCTCGCTTTAGCGCTGTACACATTTGTTTTTGAAGGGTTGCAAGAGTTTCGCGGGTTGAGGGCGGTTCTTTTTCAACATGTGGATCTCGCCCTAGCGACGCGCACATTCGTTTCATCAGTTGCAAGATGTTCACGGATTCCCATGATCAACGTACCAGAAATTGCGCTTTGGAAGGATTCGGGATTACGCTGGCGCAGCAGTTATGTTGATTCGCGGTGTTGAAGTCCCATAAATGGCGCTCGGGCACGATTCTGCATCGTCAAGACGCAGCAGTCAAGTTGATACGCGGCGTTGAAATCCCGAAGACCATGTTTCGGCATGCTTCAGGATATTCAAACGGTTGTCTTCCAACGAGGCAGTTCCCTCAATGGAAATGAACCGTTGTGGGGGCCTATGAAGAGGGAGCTTGGAGGGAGGGTTACTTCCAACATCGTTGATGATTCCTGGTTTTACACTGGTCCTCCTCCTCCTCCTCCTCCACCCTCCTCCTCCAGGAAGAACGCCACTTCCCCGAGGAGCCGTGCCAATCCAAAGGCCCCACATAGAGGGCAACAAATCAACCCCCATCACGCCACCCCGAGGGCCTTTAGTAAACGCACCCAAAGAAGGAAACGAACAGGGCAGGGCTGTTTAGTAAACGCCCAGGGCCGTTTCGTAAACGCCAACTATCGGGTCCGGGTGGTTTTTCCTCCCTTGACCAAAGCAACTCCCAGCGTCCAGAAATCTCCTTGAGCCTCAGGAGGAGCTGGAGTGGTGGCTCCCGTTGGCACCACCTGCGGCCTGGAGCCAGACCGGCCAGGCGCCCCGAGGCGCTTCCTGCGGGGCCACCGAGGAAGTCTTGGTCGCCTTTTGCGCACGGCCATCGGCGACGATGGCCACGGGCTCGTCGGAGCCGCCCGAGGCCACCGCCAGCGCCGCCCGCAACGCAGTGTGTGCCGCCTCCGCCGCCCTAGGCGCTTCCTGGGAGCTCACAGAGGAGGTCCTAGTCGCCTTTTGCGCACGCCCATCGGCGAGGATGGCCGCGGGCTCGTCGGAGCCGGCCGAGGCCACCGCCAGCGCCGGATGCAACGACGTGTGCGCCGCCTCCTCGGGCCCCCCGGCGAGCCCGGCCTCCTCTGAGCCGCCAGTGCTGCTGGCGGCGGCGCCAGTGGCCTCATCGGCGGCGCCAGCTGTGGTCTCCTCGGCGGCGGCACCAGTGGTCGCCTCGGCGCTGGTGGCCGCCTCCGCGCCGGTGGTGGTGTCCCCCGCGACGCCCGCGGCGGCAACCTCCCAGCCGCCGGTGGTGGTGGTGGCCCCTGCCGCGGCGGCGCCCGCCACGCTGGTGGTGGCGGCGCCCCTCGCGGCGCCGGAGGGCAGCTCGGGCTCCGCGCTCGGGCAGCCGGGGCCCGCCCGGAGGAAGACCACGTCCTCGTGGGAGCGGCGGGGTCTGTGCTCACGCGCGCTGCCCCCATGCCCAGGCTCGGGCTCGGGCTCGAGGCCTCGGGCTCCAGGCCTCGCGCTCGGGCTCGAGGCCCGGGCCCGAAGCTCAGCGCACGTGCCACCCTGGCCAGGGCACGAGGGCACGTGCGCCGACCCCGGGCCCAGGCCAGGGGCAGCGCCTTCTGCGTGCAGGCCCCGTCGCCCCCGATCCTCCCCGTCGATCTGCACGGTCTCGAAGTCGACGTCCCCCGGCTCGCAGTCCAGGCCAGCGGCCGGGGGCTGCTCCTGGCGTCGTGACTTTTTCAATGCGGGGCCCCATGGAAGTCTCGACCCCATCCCCGGGACGGGCTTCTCATCCCGAGCCGCTTCTTGACGGCCCCGGGGCTTGGCGAGGGCCCCTCCAGGCTGAAAATTGCGAAACAACTCCGTCCTGTGTTTTTCAATGCGTTGGATCTCCGGGAACAAATGCGCACAGCCAAGCTGGGCATCGCTCGGACGTCCATTCCCTGTGTTTTTGTTTTCGGTTTCGTGCGTTGCTTTTTCGCCAAATCATCAAGGATGCTCCTCGATGGTCCTCGCTGAAGGAAAAATGCACACGTCCGAGCGATGCCAAGCAAGACTTCCGCGGAGGACCGCTCGGATTTCTCGGGTCGGCGCTGGGACCCCGTCCCGCTGTAGGGCGCGGAGCGCGCCAGGGGCGGCGCCAGAGGCGCTGCCGAGAGGGTCCAGCACCGACCCAAGAGATCCGCGCGGACCTCCGAAAGTCTATGTTTAGGTCGGGCATGCCCTCCTGCAGACGGATTTTGGACGAAAGCCCCACCAGCCCTTTGGGCGACAGGTGGTCTAAGGAGGGTCTCTTTCCTCTTCCACGACCCCCCTTCCCTTCGGGGAGGCGAACTGTCCCCCTCCCCTCCCTGAGGTTTTTGTTGGAGGGATCGCGAAATGTCGGAGGCTCCTTTTCGGCAATTGGGAGGGCTATTTTCTGCCACCACTCACGAGGATCGTGGCCCCCGAGGGGGGATCTAAATCGAGTCCCCCCCCTTTTTTGACCGACCGTCTTCAAGATGGCCTCAAGAGGCCCTTCAAGGCTCCCCAGAGGCCCCCAAGATGGTTACAATAGCGCCCCAAGAGGCCCCCGAAAAGGCCTCCAAGAGGCCTCCGAATGGCCCCCTAAGCGGCCTCAGAAAGCCCAAGATGACCTCCACGATAGCTCAAGATAGTCCAAGCTGGCTCAAGATGGTCCCAAGATGCCCCAAGAGGCCCCAAAACCGGTCCAAGACGGCTCGAGATGGCCACGGAGCCTCCCGAGGATGCCGCCGAGATGTGCCCAAATCCTTCAAAAACGCACCGAAAATTAATGACTTTGGCCTTCTCGCCTTTTTACTTACGATGGCCTGCCAGGGCCTCAAGATGGCTCCAAGATGGCCCAAGAGGGCCCCACGAGATGCCCAAGAGAGCCCCAAACCGGCCCCAAGAGCGCCCAATAGCGCCCCAAGAGGGGCCCAAGCGGAATTGTTAGAGACTCTCGAGAGGCGACGCTACTTGAAGCTCCCCCTTTTTTGACCGATCTCCTCCAAGATGGACCCAGAGCGCCCCCAAGGCTCCCAGAAGCGCCCCAAGAGGGCCCAAAGACCGCTCCAAGACGGTTCCGAGTGGCCACGGAGCCTCCCCAAGAGGCTGCCAAGAAACCGAAATCAAGTCAAATCTTTCGGAATATCAATGACTTTGGCCTTATAGTCCTTTTGTTTTCGATGGCCTTCCGAGGCCCAAGATGGTTCCAATAGGGCCCCAGGGCGCCCCAAGAGAGGCCCAAGAGAGCCCCAAGACGGCAGACTGCGAGATTTCTTCGTCCTCCTTCTCCCCGTTTTGCTCCTCATGCCTCCTCCCTCCTCCTCCTCTTCCTCCTCCTCCTCTTCTTCCTCCTTCTCCTCCCCCTCAAGACTCAAGACTCAAAACCCGTGGGGTCCACCTAAGCTCGAAAAAGTTACACTGGCCCGACATGGGCTCGTGGCTTCAAGCTCGGGATCCTGGGAAGTGTACCTACGAACCCGACGCACATTTGAGATTAGATGGCCGACTGCTCACCCCTGGCGGTGGCACTGGCCAGGCTGGCAACCCCGAGAAGCAAATAACCCCCTGTGGGGGCCAGCTCCTGTGGCGCCGGGTGAACAGAGTAGCTCAGATACCCTTACCCCCCGCCCCACCGTCCGCGACAAACGACGACGACCCACCCCTCCCCTTATCCTTTCCCTTCCCCTTGCTCCTGTGTCGCGACTGCGACGGCATTCTAATTGCAGGAGTCGCTGGGAGGGCCTCGTGATTATGTGTAGTGGCTTGGCTGCTGAATGCACGGCTCACTGTGGGCGGGTCGACGTGACCTCTCGCCACTAGTTCTGCTAGCCTGGTGCTGCTCATCATGTGATCAACCTGCCGCCGTCGAGCAGACGCGAAAATCTCCCTCTCCAAGGGCGTCGCGGGGCTGCTCCCGACAACAGCTGGCCCTTCCCGAGCTCGATGTATTACTGGACCATGTCGACCATGTCCGTCAGCGGAGACGCGATTGGATGTCCCCCCCCCCATCGCGCGCTGGGACCGGCGCCCACGGCGCCGCCGCCGCGTGAAGCGGCGGCACACCACAGGGCGCGCTAGCGCCGCGCGGAGGACCGCGCCCTCCTCCGCGCCTGGCATGGCAGGCTCTCGCCCGCGTTGCAGGAACGCCTGTGGCTAGCGGCGAGGCGGCTGGAGGAGTACCGCGGCTCTTCGCCAGGCGGGATAGCGCCCGGCCCCCCCGAGCTGCGGGTGTTGCGCGGCCCCGAGACGCCGTTCTGGGGTTGCTGGTGCGCCAGGGCCAGCAACCGGGCGCCCCCCGCGCCACGTGCTCGCGCGGCAAAGTCGGCTCCGCGGCGCGTGGTCGACGCTGCGAAGGAGGCTCGCGACGCCCTGCAGGGGCTGTTTGCGGCTACCTCGGGGCAGATGGCACGCAAGCGCGCCCCGCGGTCCAAGGAGCACGTCGGCCTCGAGGAGCTCGCCACAAGACTTCGGCAGATGGCACGGGAGCAGCTGCGACCATGCCGAGCACGTGGTCCAAGGAGGAGCAGGGCGGCGGCGAGTCCAGCCTCCGCCAGCGGACCGCCCTGCAGAAGAAGACCAACTGGCGCGAGATGGGCCTCAAAGCGCGCAGCAAGGTGGAGAAGGACGGAGGACCACCGGCGCTGCGCCTTCTTCACCAGCGCGCGCTCGAGGACCTTCGACAGCAAGCGCGGGCGCATCGCCCCCCAGGCGCTGCGCGCAAAGCCACGACGCAGAAGCTGGACAGGTACGAGAGCGGCCACAAGAGCCTGCAGGAGCAGCTCGCGGGCGCCACCGAAAAGATCCTGGAGAAGCAGGAGGCCATCTCGACAAAGCGCGCCGAAGTGGAGGTCTTCAAGCTGGAAGCGCGATGTGAGAGGCCGACAGCGACGACGAAACTGGCCAGCTTCGCGGCGGAAGACATCATCGAGTTCGACTTCGACAACGAGCTACTCCGAGCTCCTGAGGCGAAAGAGGCGCTGCTGGTGGTCAAGGCCAGCCCCCACTTCAAGAATGCCATCGAGGCCTTGTGCAAGGTCGAATGAAAGCTGGCCTCGACGGCTGCTGCTATCCCTGTGCCTGATCATGGCGATGATGAAGACGAGCAACCTGGAGAGCAGGAAGGAGGAGACACTGGCCCCGTGGACGAGAACCACCTCCAAGGTCGAGTGGAAGAGCGCGGGGCAGGAGTTCGTGGCCCTGGTTCTGGAAGACGTCGAGCAGCTCTGGGCGCTGCTCCACAGGGACGGCGAGCAACCGGCAACCTGGACGAAGGACGGGCTGCTTGAGGCAGTCGCCAGCGTGCAGGACACGCAGCGCCGCAGGACTGCAGGCGGGTCTGTCTGCACAGGCGGCGGGCCCAGCGCGCGACGCTCGACCGCGGGTCCGTGGGCTTCGTCTGCGTGGCCCACGCCCACCGCTCCAGGAAATCCCCGAGCTGCTCGAGACGACGCGCACCTTCGAGACGATCAACGCGAATCAGGGCAAGAAGACCATGCAACGACGGCTTCGATGCCCTACTGCAATGGTCACCTCGGCACAAGAGATCGGGCATGCCATTGGCGACTGCGAAAGCTTAAGCTCGCGGCCCACGGCGCACGGATGGCAATGCATAGTTGTGCCAGGTCAGGCTGCTCTGGGACACCTTCCACCAGCCGTGCTTGCGGCCTTCGCGCGGGAGGGAACTGGGCTTCGAGGACCGACTTACCCGAGTAAAGCTCCACAGCGCCGTGTCGGAGACGTGAATGATAGAATCACCTGCGGCACGGAGTTGGTTGCAGGTGGAGCACAGCATGTGGTCGTGAGGCTTCCGCATTGGCCACCCATCAATGTCTTCGACATCTACCTGCGCACGGCGGAGGGCATAAGCATGCGCGGCGCGAAGACCCTCGCGGCGGCGGGTCTCGCCATGGCGGGGCAGCAGTGCCCCATCATCGTAGGCGGCGACTGAAACATGAATCCACAGGTGGCGCGCGACTATAGTTTCCTCGTGCGGGCGAAGCTGGCGTTAACGGTACCGCGTTACCCTGCTAGCAGGGCGGCATCGAGCCCCACCACGCCGGGCTACTTCGGGCTCTCAACAGGAGCCATGATAATGTTGGTCACATGCAGCTCAGACCTTGGATGGATTACGAAACCACACCGGCCGGTGCAACTGCAACTTGTGGCGGAGAACAGCAAGGCGGGGTATCTCACGCATGTTTGAAAGGCGAAGCTCGCTTCCTAGGTGGCGCACGGCCCCTCCTCGGAGGAGGATACTTGGTCACTGGTGCGCAACTTTGCAGCGGACGCCTCACGCGTGGCCAAGAAGGAGACAGCGACGGTAGCGCCGGTAGCGCAGCGTTTCCTAAGGCTTGGGGTAAATGGGCTGTTCGAGCTGCGATGCGCGGTGAACGCCTCACCAGCGCTGACATCAAGGCAAGTTCCTATGCTCGCTCGCTGCAACCACATTGGGTAGAGCGTTATCATGAGAGTGTTTCTGGTGAGGGCGTGCAGGCTATTGCAGGCGGCTGGCAGTGGTTTCAGGAAAGCATGCGCGGGCTGGTTCCTGCGAAAGATGGAGCTGGAGATGCTGCGGGACGACTCGCCTACGATGGTGAGGTGCAGGGCTTCCTTATATACTGTAGAATACGTTGGGCAGAATCTCAGCGCGCGATTGGACTCCTCGGTGAAGCAGGAAAGGCGGTTGGTCCAAAAGGGCGCGCACACGCGATGAC